CGGAAAGTTAATTAACAAGCGGAGACGTAACAATAGCATCCACTGCAAATTCTTGGGCAACTTTTGTGTGAATAATAATGGAGTTTGAATGTCACTTCTATCGTGCACCCATGACTCAAAAGTCATGAACCATGAACTGTCAAATTCACAGTCTGGGCATGCTACCTTCTGGCCACGCCTAGATCAATCGAGATAAAAGCTTTAGAATGATGTACAAAGCTTCTTCGTAAGAACGTTTTACAGAAAACTAACTTAATGTTGAGTAAAATGGTTAGTTATTGTACACTTAATCAGGCTTTATCATTCTTTTTAGTATAAAAATAAATTTATAGGAAAATTGCAATGATTTATGAACCTTAAAATATTATCAATTTCAAAAATTATTTTCAATATTAAGATCATTAAACTGCAGTAAATAGCGATTAGAAGATTCGGATAGCAATAGAATGACGTATTAAAACAACCCAAACATTTTGCAATTTGTGCATACTTACGCTTGATGAGTAATCAGTGTTGTGGCTAGAAAGAGTAAACATGAAGCAAAAGTTATAAATAATAGAATATATATATATGTACATGCATACACACGTTAAGCTTACAAGAATAAGCACTTTCCGCAGAGAATACAAAATATTACACAGGCCTACGAATTTAAACTTCATAAAAGTTAGTTAAAAAGACCTTTCAGTCATAACTATAATATATCAAGGTGTAACAAGCCTTATAAAAATATAACTTAAAAATAAGTAAAAACCTTTCAAATGAACGAGCTTCAACTAAGTTTGCGTACTCTAAATGAAATAAAAATTAGTCTGATAAAAACATTTTCACTTGGTCTAGGTTTTTCTCTGATAACACAGGTCTTCGAATATTAATTTCATAAAAGTTGTTTTGGTTTTAATAACGGAGTTTCATAATTCAGCTACGCAGATTTCGAAAATAATATCCATTTATTTTCTATCACGTAAGGAGTTTTTACAAATCCGGAAGAAAAAAAAACTTTTACTTAGATCAAATTATTATTTCGTTTACCACAATG